ATTTAAGACTAATGGGTTATTAGACAGAAACTGTTTCTTCTGGGTGGAGCAAAGAGAAGATCTGTGTCAGGGAATGTGAAAGATGGCATAACAAGGTGAACTGCTGAGAGTCAAAAGGGAAGAGAAGCCAATAAGGAACCATCCGGTGTGTAATAGAAGGTGTCAGTGCCTGTCCCAAATGCCTGAGCACTCACCATTCCAGCACTTGCCACCATCAGGAGTCCTACTGCAAGCACCTTCCCAAGACTCCCTCTCTGCTTGAAGTGCTGTGGAGTTAATGCCCCTGAGAGCAGCTTTCAGCTAATGGTGAATAGGAATCAGAGGATGCATCCCAGCTTCCTTGCTCACCAGAGAAATGACAGCTGAATATTTGAGTTACCCCTCGAGTGGAGTTACCCCACACCATCCGAGGCTGCCAGTAGAAGAAAGCATAGTTGCCCACAGTGGTATGAATGCACCTGCATAGACCTCCTCTTATTTTACATACCCACTTCCCTACTAGTGCATCCTGGAATCATCAGTTAAATTCACATTTTTGCCTTAGAGTCTGCTTCTGGGAGAAGAACCCAGCCTAAAGCAAAGCATTTAACCTTTTACTCCTCCTTAGAATGTTGAAAGGATACAACACACACCCAGTAGTAAACGTAGCTCACTACAGTAGTGTTTCTTTTTTTTTGGCTGTGGTGCACGGCATGTGGGATCTTAGTTCCTTGACCAGGGATCGAACCCACGCCCCCTGCAGTGGAAGCATGGAGTCTTAACCTCTGGACCACCAGGGAAGTCCCCACAGTACTGATTCTTAAATGGGGATTGGGAGGGGTTGGGTGGTGGATATTTGTTTAAAATGTGTTCTCCTCCATTGTGCTGTGACCCTAGAGTGGTTGAAAATCATTGCTTTAGATATGAAATGGAAATGTCATCTAGCATGTCTGTATCTCAATAAAGTTACCACAGCCTATTGGCTTTACAGAGCTAGAAATTCCAGTTTTGTCAGTCATGTGCAAAAGGGTCTGATTTATTATACCCAGACTCCCAGAAGACATGTTTAAATCAAAACACACACCAACTTCTAGTGCTCATTATAAACCAGTAATTTTCAAATATCTGGTTTTGTAATTTCTCTGGTCATTTCATCTCTTGGGCTGGGATATACGTGGGGAAACAAATTATCAGAAATGTTTTGGGGAGCACAAAACTAAGCAAGGAAAATGAGTTGGATCTTAATGGTTAATGGCATTGAGCTGTGGCTGTATCTACTCCAGAGACCAGCAGTTCAAGTCTTGAATTGAGATACTTCTGCTTCGTGCTGCCAGATTCTTGTTCTTTGGGTTTTCTTTCCTTGACTTCGTGAGTTTGGCTTTTCTGCTTATGATGTGGGATATGTTATTTCTTACTCATTTTAGCTCTTGAGTTCTAGGCCTTCCTCACTATTCCCCCTTGGCTCCCCCTTACTCCAGCTTTTGAAATCTTTCTAGACCTTAAATAACCTCCATAAAACTTCATTAGTGGCAGAAACATTCTGTCTTCTCTTTCTCTGCAACAATAAGGCTATTCATTATTTTCCTCTGTTCCCTATTCCATTTAAGTGGGCGCAGTTGAGTTTTAAAAGTTGAAGCTGCTGTTTGAATTGTTCTGATCCTCTTGCTTTTGGACTAATGCTTTTGGCTGAATCATATGCCTACCTGGCTATAGCAATAAGGTGTATTTCATTGAACGTAACAGAAAACCTAACTCTAAAGGACTTTAATAAATAAGGGGATTTATATTTTGTATGTATAACAAGAAGCCCTGAGGTTGGGTGGCTATAAGGTTCTAGTTTTCTGCTCTGCCATCCTTAACGTGTTCTGTCAGCTTCTCCCCTTGTGGTTGAAAGGTGGCAGCTACAGCTCCAACAGCTGAAGAGGGAGGGTTTCCTCCTAAGTGTCTCCGTTATTGGTGGGCAGCCTTTCTCAGAAGCCCCTCATAGACATCTCACTGGCCAGAATTGTGACACGTGCCCCTTCCTAACTCCACCTCTCTGCAGGGTAAATGAAACTGACTTAGAGTGATTAAGATCTATACTCCTTGGGCTGCGGATTGTGTATCCTTCCCTGGGAATGTGGCCTGAAAGGGGAGGGTGTATACCCAAATAAAAGTCAGGGAGTTTAGGGTCTGCTAAGAACTTCCATTGTATGGACGAGTCACCTTCTTCAGGGGCAAGAATATTCTACCCAGGAGCAGGCAGCACAGCTAGTGACTAAATCCCCAATGCCCCCTCCAGAGGATATACAGTGATTTCTGCTCCAGAGGTGAAGTCTGCACTTTGGCCATCACCCAAAGAGTGGACACAACCTGGACCAGGACTGGCCTGCGAGATGCATGACCTCATCCACGGCCCCTCCCGTCCAAAGGTTTTCAGCCCCAAGGGGTCCAAGAACTAAGGGACCAGGTTGTTGGGACCCAAGGGGCCTCTAGGAAGAGGGCAGGTGCCTTTTATCGGAGGCAGAGCTGGGATGGGGCAATCAGATGCTCCAGCCATGGGCACCAAGCAAGGTCCACTGGACTTGCCACCCTGTGCCAAAACCCTGCAGGATCCATGTTCTCAGCCCTGCTTTCAGGCTGTAGAGGCCTCAACCATGACAACCTTTGAGGCCTCCACTGGCTATGAGCCCAGTGCACATTCATGGTCACCTCAATCTGGTATAAGAATAGGATGTCTGGTCACCCAATCCATGAAAGGGACATTTGACTTACAGGAGATTCTGAACTGGTCAACGTGGTTCTCTTGGTCAGATACTGTTCCTTACATTTTTCTCTAGAGACTTAATCCCACTGCTTGCTTCAGAAATGAAAATTTACCTATTTCTCTAGAGAAGGTCATCCCATCTGTCTCCCTCCAGAGGCTATAGTTAGACGTGTAGATATGGAGATAGGCATAGAGAAGAGTATGGAGGGGAGCTGTAGAGACAATGTAGATGAACAATAGATATTTACATAGATCCATACATATAAACATGGAGATACAGATATGCATATAAATGAAGAAGTAGATTATAGACACAAATGTATGGTTTTCCCTTCACAAATAATCAGACTTGTTTTCATAAGTTGGAGAACTCTGTCCACGTATGTGTTTGAAGTACAGGAAAGATATTAGGACCTCTCATCTCTGACCACATGAGAATCATGTGGGGGAGAAATTTAAAAATCAAACTAGGCATGGTATCAACACTTAAATATATCAGATTCTTTTTGTAGATTTGTGCCACTAATACCTGCACATACGCATGTGACTTTTATTTCCCTATGTGGTTAATGAAGATACAGCTCATATTAGGAAAAATAACTTGTGCTGAGTGTTATTTGGCCATAAATACTGATGTTGGAATATTCTGGCACTTGTGCTTCAGTGTATAAACATCTAGAGAACTCTTGCATGTAACGCACCCAGATACCAGAAGGATGTCCACCTCACGACTATATTTGTGCAAAACTGGTATCTTTGTAGAACTAGATGTATGCGTACTGATCTTCTTTCAACACCTTCATATGGAAAGTAAACAAAGCAAATATGACAAAACAGAAAGCAAATTGATAAAATGAACAAAGAAGTGATTTTTTTTTCTTTTTTTTCTTTTGCGGTGCGCGGGCCTCTCACTGTTGTGGCCTCTCTCCTTGTGGAGCACAGGCTCTGGACGCGCAGGCTCAGCGGCCATAGCTCACGGGCCCAGCCGCTCCACGGCATGTGGGATCTTCCCGGACTGGGGCACGAACTCGTGTCCCCTGCATCGGCAGGCGGACTCTCAACCACTGTGCCACCAGGGAAGCCCAGAAGTGATATTTTTTAAAGACATTTTTATTGCCAAGGTAAACCCGCATATACCAAAATCTGTTTTCAGAATTTACCTTTTCAAAAGAAGGGGGAAGACTGAGAATGAGAATGGTTATCCCAGGTTTTAGATGAACGTATAATGTATTTATAATAAGAGGAGAAATATTATGGACATATATATATACATATATGCAAATATATACAAAAAACTAAAAAAGTGGAAATATTAGCATCATTAGACTATGTTCAGTGATGATATGGTATTGCTATTATAATTTCCTTGTAATTTTTTGTATGTTTTAAATAGTCAAAGTAAAAATACGCTTCTAAGTGAAGATTACTCAGTATTATGGATTTGTCCTAATCCATTTAATCATTCCCGTAATGATGGATGCTGAGGTAGTATCTAGTTCCCAGTTTAAACCCTCGGAGCTTTGGGGAAAAGCTCACTTTTATGAGCTCACATCATCAGGAAGTACAGCATCCCTTCGTTTTCTACACAATGAACTAATTTCAAGTTTGCCCTCTCATGATGCCAGGAGGGAAAGAAGTTCTAATATGTCCCTCAGAGATCTATTCTCACCTGAGTTAGGTTACAGTTTGTGGGTTTTCCAGACCGTGGAGGACATGGTGATTACAGAGAGAAGGTCATATTCTTGAGTAAAATACTTTTTTTCTGGAAGAATTCAGCAGACATGTCCACCACCTAGTGCCCATGGTGCTTCCATAGGCAGTGTAGAGCTTGGAAACAATCCTTCGCTTAGTGGAGTATAGAATATAACCACTGCCCACAAGAAAAACAACCTCCATGTGGGTTTCCAAGTGGTTTTTCCTTCCCCCTGCTTTAGTTTTGCCTCTGACAGGATGACCTCCTTATTCATTGTTCTTTAAATTGCTGTGATCTGCATCAAAAGAAAGGAGGACTGGATCAGGTTCAGAATGCTATCTTCTTCCTCCTGAAGCTCAAGTCCTGGTGAGCTTTGCAAAGTGTTCAGAAGAACCTGAAAATCCTGGAGGGTCCTCTTCCTGTGGATCAGGATTCAAAAAAGTTTGTACCTTTTACTGACAATCTGTGGATGGCAGGAGTTGACCTAAAGCCTTCTTGAGGTTTCTATATATTGCTGGTGTGGTTGGCTGAGGGCATGAGATGGTTCTCCAGCTGACTCTGTGCTGTGGCCACCAGTCTGTCTCAGTGGGTCCCTTTTTGAGGATCCCGCTCTGCAATCAGAGCCTGGCAGCACTCATCCCACCACTGCAGAAAGTAAGATATGTCCACCTGGCTCAGATCCTGTGGTGGTGGTTTTTTGTGCTCAGCTTGAGGCTGAGAATAGTCTTCCAACTGCAGTACTCCCATGTCAGTCTGTTCTTGGTGATCCTGGCGTTCTTGGTATTGGGGCCAGAAGGGGTACTGAGTATCTGGGTCTCCTCCCATAGTCAGCAGTACTAGCACATAATTCCCAACTGTTAGAGTAGAGGGAGAGTTCTCTCCTCTCTGCACAGCCTGCATGGGCTGCATCATGACACTTTGTCCTTGGATCACACAAGGGACAGAGGATACGTGGGATGGGAGAAGAACAGGTAGAAATGGTTGGTTCCTGCTGAAAGAACTGGAGGAAGCAAAATGATGACATCTGCCTGGGAGAGTACATAGGTCAATTTCGTGCTGCTGAGCTGTCATACCAGGTCTCCCATTTGGGCCATCTACCAAGGAATTCACAGTCTCACTTGTGCTCTGCCCAGGGTACAGAGATCTTGGGTCCTGAAACCACATCTCCGTGTGAAAGACGGAGACATGGATATCATAAGACAAGCGATTCTGGCTGTTCTCAAACTGTGTAAAGCAAAGGGCCTATTATATAGGCCCAAATCTCAAGAGGTGTGTGTGTGTGTGTGTGTGTCTATACACATATATAATATATATATATATATGAAATTAATTGCCCTTGTTCATGTGTTCAGTATGTGTATATATGTACATATGTGTGTGGACACGTATATATGTGCATATGCATAAGTATGTGTGTATATATATGTGTGTTTATGTATGTATATGTATACATATACATACATACAAACACATAGATTTAAGTCATAGCACATTCAGCAATCAACTATAGATGAATTGAAACTCTGGCTAAAAAGGCATGTGCTTTAGGATCCACCCTTCAATTTCAACGATGGATCAGGGAACAAGGTCTCTTGACGAGGTTGACATTTTCCTCCTATTAATCAGTGTTTGCACAGGAATACATACCTTGTAAACGTGTATAAATCTGAATAAGGATTAATAAACACAGGTAAGTGTTTATGAGGGTCATTGTGCTGATAGACCTGTGAACATGCTTCCTAGTCATGAGTGTTGAATATATACGGAACCACTATCCCCATAGCTTAGGTAGAAGAAGGTACTAATGAGGGTGCTTTTGTTCCCCTATTTGACTATGCTTGTAGATTTTTGGGGGGGTGTTAAAAGTGGGCTAAGGAGAGATGGGCAGGATATCTAGTTGGTAGAGGCCAGGAATGCTGAAAAACACTATACCTGGCATGGACTGCCCCTCCCAAGAAAGAATTGTCTGGCCCAAAATGACAGCAGTGCCAAGCTTTAGAAAACCTAACAAGAGTGTTCTCAAAACAGGCATCAACTTTCACATTTTCCCACAGTTTTGCTGCTGGTGATTCTGAATAGATGCACCACTGACAATTTGATTAGAAAATTCTTCCTTTTGCAGGAATGTGACTTGCAATGCCAGGTGTTTACTATCCCAGGCCTTTGTCCTTGATTGCTGTGGTAATCTAGGTTAGTCAAGGTTTTCCAGCAACCAGTCGAGGTAACATCGTTTAATGGGTTAGGGATGTTTGCTGCCATAGACATAAAACTTACTTGAATTCCCGTTTCTGGAATGCCTGTTTAGCTAGTGTTTTCCTGTTTGCAATATCAAAGAATTGGTTCCTCTTGAAGGCTTGAACTAGAATGTTTGATTGAGATCTTGGAATAGATGTGTGGTCTTGTGTGGCTCCTTTTGGTAAGTATTCTAAAAGAGAACGCAGGGACAAAAGGGTTTTTAGGACATTCTTGCATTCAAGCTGGAAACTCAAACTTGGGAAGATAGTGCTGACCTCTTACACCCTCTGAATCCCCCTGAGATGACAGAAGAGGAGGATGTTGCCCTGCTTAGAGCAGTAGGACCAAAAAGTCCAAAGCCTTTCTTGCTCAGAACCTGTCTATCCCAGCCACTTTGGGACCATGCTTATATTGATGACCTTAGGTTACTCAGAACAAGCTGTAACTGGCTCCAAAACTAAGGATTCTTTGTGGAGAATTTGGGCACAACATGCAGAATTGATTCCCCTCTCAATGGGACCCACTGATGAACTGCATTTGGACTGGTGGGTTCTTACCTTGAGTATAAGGCTGAGGCTGGTTCTGTCCATGGGTTTGGTCTTCTCCTAAGGAGGAGCTGAACCCCAATCGGCTCTGTCTTGCTCTGTGGTTTTTAAACCAAATCTGAGTGGGAAAAGACGATGTGAAAGTCATATAACAGTCTGTGTCATTCCAAATATCAATGCAGTTAAAACTAATTGATCAACTGCTCTTGGGATAATATCCCTAAGAGAAAGACGATGTATTATCCTGGGATTGATGCTGTTATTAGCATACAGTTCAGGATGGTATTACAATCTGCTCTCAACTCAAGTTAGCATTTCTTGTATGGTCATCCTCAGGGTATCCAAAACAGTGTAGTTCTCTCAAAGGAAATCAATCTCTCTCTCTCTCCCTTGTGTTGTATCAACTTTTCATTAGAATACCATTTCATAATACACAGTACATATGGGATTGATCTTAGAAAAGAATTTCTTTATGTAGGGCAGTAGAATTAGCCATAGTCAAGAGCAGGGCTAACTCACCTACACTTTTACTTATTTCATCCCATAGTCAGCAATAGATAATGAAACTCCTAGGGACCCCATATATCTTGCTTTAAAACTATTATCACTAACATAGCCAATTGTATTCTGCTTGTTTCCTCATTACTGGAGTTGACATTGCAAGGTACTTTCTAAGTATTTCTGAGTGTTTTATTTTGATAATTTGATAATTCATGGTAAGATTAGGGTGTCAGTTATAACCAATATCTGATGTAGCACTCATATCCCAGGCATTGTGCTAAAAGGTTATATCTGTTCTTTAAATTAATTAATAAAAATATTTTCCAATAAGAAGTCTTAAGCCCAAGTGGAAACTGGAAACTAATGAGTAAGTTACTGAACACAGTTGCAGAACCATCCTCATCCTACATTGTTTCCTGGACTTGCCATCCTCCACCTCAGTTCAAATGGGCCTAGTACCTCTCATGCAGCTAATCACTAGATAGTCCCCCAAAGTGCAATTTATTCTGGGATGTGGGAAAACTGTTTCCTACACCTAAAACAAATGCATTAAGAAAAGGGGAACTTTTCTTCTCCCCAGCGTCCCCTCAGACTGATGCCCTTATATATAGTGACTTATTGGAGACTTTTTTTTTTTGCGGTACGCGGGCCTCTCACTGTTGTGGCCTCTCCCATTGCCGAGCACAGGCTCCGGACGCGCAGGCTCAGCGGCCATGGTACACGAGCCCAGTCGCTCCGCGGCATGTGGGATCCTCCCGGACCGGGGTACGAACCTGTGTCCCCTGCATCGGCAGGCGGACTCTCAACCACTGCGCCACCAGGGAAGCCCCTGGAGACTATTTTTGATAACAAAAATCTGAACTCATTATTCTCCTCTGAAAGCACCTTTTTTATTGACCTTTATTGATTTCAATACTGTTTCAGTTGGTATAATTGTATTATTTACAGCTATCTCTTTGCTGACTGAAGAAATCCAGTTTATTTTTATTTTTACATCAGTAGTTCTATTCAAAATGATACAATATGGGATTTTACTTCATACACTCCTGTGAATGAATCACATTTCAGATATTAGTGAAAAAAAAAACTAGCTTGAGAATTGGGAATTTACATGAGTGCTTACCCCCCAGTTTCCTCATAATTATATATTAATCATTATTCTGCTGTATATATTCCAGTACTTGATACCATATCATTATCATAGTGATCCAATTTCCTATAATCTCTAAATCTCAAAAGTTGATTTAATTATCTCCTATTGGAGAGCCTCAACCAGTATATTCTTTTCTCCAAGAGTGAATGCCCCTAACCAATTGGTAAAAGAAGTAACAGTTTTCTACCATTGGTAAAAGAGGTAATTCTTGTTTTTATTTTGTTTTAAATATTATTTAACAGGAAAAACCTTTAGGAAACATACCCAACATAAGAGAATCACCTGCCAGTGCTAAGCTTGGCCTTTCTCTTTACCTTGAACCTGACAGATAATGAAATAGAAACCTGATACTAACCTGAATTTTAGATTCTGGAATGCCAATTTCCTTGGCCAGTTGTTTCCTGTTAGCTTTTTCAGGGTAAGGGTCATGTTCAAACCATGCTTGGAGGATATTCTTTTGACTCTGGTTGTAAATAATCTTGCCTTGCCAGGTTTCTTTTTGTAATAGTATGTCTGATGAAGAGAAAATGGGGAGAATTATGAAGGATATGTTTATGGATTAAAAACTGGGTGAGCATATATCTTACTTCAGGTTGAAAGTCTGTAGATCCAATGATTATTCTGTATTTTTACTTTAGGGATATACCTAAAGTCATTCTAAATTGGAGACATGGGAATTCCCTGGTGGTCCAGTGGTTTGGACTCCATGCTCTCACTGCCAAAGGCCTGGGTTCAATCCTTGGTTGGGGAACTAAGATCCCACAAGCAGCCCGGCGTGGCCAAAAGAAAAAATTGGAGACATACAGGTCAAATATATATATAATAGAAAAAATGACAGTCTGTCATCTCTGAGTTACCAAAGGAAGAAGTTACTAGAAATCCACAAAATTACATGCAAAGAAAATAGGAGTTAGGAAAATAAATGGAAATAAATGAAACAAGTAAAACATTAAAACAAAAACAAGAAAAACATTAAAAGGATAAATTAAATACAATACACAAAACTGATACTTTATGATAAAATACATTTAAATAAATATAAAATGTTAAATTATTAGATATAAACTAAATGTAAAATATTATGTATTCCATATATATATTTCTCCATTTAAAGTGTTAACTTTAAGACTTTTGAAAACCCACATATGGGACTCACGGCTGTCTCTTAAATTTGAAATTGCATTCTCTCACTTCAAAGCACCCATCAATCCCCTGATACAACTTATCACTGCAAAACAGCCCCTGCTTCAACAACCTATTCCTCTAATCATAATTGGGATTTTACTTTTTATAAACTCTGGAAAATAAACAAAGCATGTGGCATTATCAAAGAAGAGAGCAAAACACAGATGAGAATTTACCACTTGCAGTGCTGTTCAAATCCATCTTGGGAAGAGGTATCCAGATTCTGCAGAGATGAGTGGACAACTAAGCAAGACACAGGATTTATAAAACACCCAGAGCGACCCACCCATTTCTTAAATACCCTCCTATTTAATCCCTTCATTAAATATTTAACACTTTTCAGAAGAGACTTGAAGTAATCAGGTTAAGAAGAAATACAGATTCTAATTTTGCATCTATTATAATATCTCCCCAAATATGACTTAGAATCTGTGCTTTCTACTTTACATAGTACATATGTATGTATCAATATATATTATATGCTTTGTTCTCTATAATTTTTAGTACTCCTGTTTCTTAATTATTTTGGCTTGATGATATTATTTTAATATTAGATCAATATTCCTATTCACTTTGTAGGCTCCCTGTTTTCCTTAGCCCTTACTGAAACAAATTTCTTTCCATTATTGTTAGTAGGGTTTATGTGTTACCTTGGCTATTCTATATTCCACAGTTGTTAAAAAAAAACACTGATCTAGGTGTTGCTGTGAAGGTATTCTATAAATTGAATTATATAATCAGTTGGATTTAAGTAAAGGAGATTATCCTCGATAATCTGGGTGGGGCTGATGCAATCAGCGAAAAGTCTTAAGAGCAAATCTGGGTGCATTCCTGAAGGAAAAGGAATCACGCCTATGGACAGCAGCTTCATCTCCTGCCAGAGGCTTTCAGCCTGCCCTTCCAAAGAGCCTACCGTAGAAATCTCATTCTTGCCTAGCCAGTCCCCAAAATTGTATAAGCCATTTCCATTTAATAAATGTCTTTATTTGTGTATGTGTATGTATGTATGTACACACACAAGTATGTATATAATTTCACAAGTTCCCTATGTGAATTGAGTTCAGAATGCTACTGATTCTGTTTCTCTGATTGAACACTAAATGATACAGATGTTGGTACTGAAACTGAGCAGGACCCTGTGGGGCTCACTGTCTCAGGTTTTATGGTAATGGGGTTAGTTTCCAGGTTGTCTCTGGCCAGTCATCTTGATTGACCCATATTTCGTCTGACTCAGGGTCCTTCCTGGTGGCGCACCCATCTCTCAGTCAAGATGGATTTCAGTGTGAGGGCTTCTGGGAGGTTGGCAGGACACATCATCTCCTCCCTCCTCCTTTTGGCCCTTCCTGAATTCTGGTTAGTTGCACTTCATTCTTTATCAGGACCTCCTATTGTGAGACAACTCAGGTAAGCGGTTATCATCATACCTGGCCAAGGCGGGCAGTTTTAGTCAACGGTTCCCTAACAGAAGAAAAGTTACAAATACCAGCTATTACCATGTGACCATTTGCATAAATGAGGATATACTAATTATGAGGATTGCATTATGAATATGTTTGTATAAATATTAACAAAATATTTTGCTTTCTTCCTGCTCTTATTCCCTGATGATCCAATATAAGATGTATTAATAATAATTAACATTAAATCACCGTATTTAAGGGGCATCAAAGGAGAAGTATTCACATCAGCCAAGGATGTTGCATCCTCTTTGGGGAGAGGATTAGCATGTTTCTCTTGTAGGCATGATAGTTGCACCATATTAGGCAGAAATACCACTTTGTTATTATCTTTATTTGGAAATTATTTATGGTTTCAGGAGATGTGTATGGTTTCCAGGCTGACAAGGTATGAACAGAGCTGGTCAGTTTTGTGTCAGTATGGCTAGGCTACAGACCCAGTAATTCAAACACTCACCTACTTGGAGTTTCTGTGAAGGTATTTTGTAGATGTGATTAAAGTTCATAATCACTTGACTAAGGGAGATTATCCTATATAATCTGGGTGGGCCTAAGTCAATCATCTGAGAGGCCAGAAGGACTGAGTGAAGGCTTCACTGAGAGGAAGAAATTCTGCCTATTGATAGATGCATCAGCTCTTGCCCAAGAGTTCTAATCTGCCTTACGGATTTTAGACTTGCCAAGCCTTCTCTGCAGTCACATAAGCCAGTTCCTTGCAATAAATCTCCACATACACACTGATTCTGCTTCTCTGGTTGAATACAATCATCTGATACAATTATTAAATTATTTGCTTTGAAGTGATGACTTTAACAAGAAAAAAATATATATGTGGATTTGTCATGGGGCTAGACCATGGGTGATGGAAAAATTTATTGAATCCTGAAAAGATGGCAACTGTAAATTTTGCTGCTGTAAATTTTTTCTGGTAAACGTCAGCTGTGAAAAACTGGAAGGCAGGAAATGCGACAAATACTCTATGCCTTGACTTAAAGACAACAGAATATCTCTGTCAAGACTCATGTGCTGTTGGCTACTATTGCCTTGGGAACAGCTAGAGAGAAATGAGCTCAGAAAGAAATGTGTTCCTTAACAGGAAAAATGGAAGGGGATAGAAAGATTGTATGAACTGCAAGATAACGTGTACAAGCAGACTTTGTATCATTTATATGAGGAAATACGAACTTGGAGACATATTTTCTAACAAAAAGTTTACACAGTTAAAAAAAAGCAAAAATAAAACCTGGGTTGTGGCTTAAAACCTTTGGTTTAAAGCAGTGATTGCATTATAACTTCTACCAATCATTCTTCTATTATTTAAGACAGCATTACTATAAACTGTCACCAGAAAAAAAATGGTATGTGCTTTTGCCACAGACACTGATAAGCTCAAGATATTTAAGATGAGAAACAGAAAAATTAGGCACAATGAATTGGGGGATGGGCTAATTGCACCTGGAAATAGATATAATTAGATAGGTTAATTCATCTTTAATTGTGTGTGTTTTCCTTTGTTGACATATACGTGTGGGATTACCAGAAAATTCACATGCTTTAACTAAAAGAAACTTAGCTTGGATAAAAACAATATTCTGTGAACTGCACCCGCTCATATTATATCCAGATGGTAAAACCCTCAGAGCTATAGCCTCTAATGCCCCTACAAATGAGGCCAAGCAACATAGAAGACATCCGAGTATCTGGTGTAGGGACTTCATCTAGGATTCAGACATTGACCTAACTAGGGGGAAAAGCATTCTCAGCTAAAGGGAGCTCTTCCTCAAAACATCCCCCCATCTGAATCTTGCTGTTGCTACGTTTCAATGGGTGCAGTGTCCCTCCTCTTCTTCCATATCATGGCAGGATATTACGTTGATCCAGTCCATGTTCCAACTAGTTCATAGCATGGGCTTTTGTTCTTTGATATTTTGATGAGGAAGAGTTATATCTGGATCTTTCAGCTGCTTTGAGTGTGAATGGAGGTGTTGGGCTTTGAGTCCTAACTGTGTTTGGAAAAATCTTTCATACTGTGCCTGGTGGAGAAGGGTAAGATTATTCTGTGTACTTTAGGGATAGAAGCCAATAATTTTGACCAAATAGATGGACTGCAATATAAGTAAATAAAAATTTAAAAAGACATTTCTTTTTTTTAAAATTTTATTGATTGATTGATTTTTGGCTGTGTTGGGTCTTCGTTGCTCTGTGCGGGCCTTCTCTAGTTGCGGTGAGCAGGGGCTACACTTTGTTGCGGTGCGTGGGCTTCTTCTTACTGTGGCTTCTCTTGCTGCAGACCACAGGCTCTAGGCACATGGGCTTCAGTAATTGCAGCATGTGGGCTCAGTAGCTGTGGCTCACAGGCTCTAGAGTGCAGGCTCAGTATTTGTGGCTCATGGGCTTAGTTGCTCCGCGGCATGTGGAATCTTCCTGGACCAGGGATCGAACCTGTGTCCCCTGCATTGGCAGGTGGATTCTTAACCAGTGTGCCACCAGGAAAGTCCCGTGCAATATATTTTATTTATTTATTTAAATAAATTTTATTTATTTTGGCTGCGTTGGATCCTCGTTGCTGCCCACGGGCTTTCTATAGTTGCGGGAGCAGGGGCTTCTCACTGCGGTGGCTTCTCTTGTTGTGGAGCACGGGCTCCAGGCACGCCGGCTCAGTAGTTGTGGCTCACGGGCTTAGTTGCCCCGCGGCATGTGGGATCTTCCCGGACCAGGGCTTGAACCCATGTCCCCTGCATTGGCAGGCGGATTCTTAACCACTGCGCCACCAGGGAAGCCCCTGTGCAATATATTTTATAGGGACTGAATATTTCATGGCACCAGCCCAATCAGGCCATGTCTTCCAAAAGGCTTATACTTTCCAAATTGTTGATTTCAGTCTTTGCCTTGTGATTTCTTTCAGCCAGTGAAATATGAATGGATTTAATGAGGCAGCCTGTGCCATCTCTGAGCAGAATCCTCCATCTTTGGGACCATCGTTCTCTTCTCACTACCATGCGCCTTCTTGGTCCTAGATAATGATACCATTAACCTGAATCCCAGAAGGATGAGTGAGAAATAGGTGAGTCATTAGTGTTTAAGGTCACATATTACAATGACATAATTGAGACTAAGGTGATGGATATACAGATTTGCTTTTTGTATCTTTAAGTTCTATGACCACAGTTGTCTTTTTTTTTTAAAAAAACAATTATCTGAACATTTCCAGAAACCCATTTGTTATAATTTTGTTTAATAGCCTCCTCCAACCCTGTTTTTTTTTTCAACTGCAGTAAATTTTTGTGAAATTTAGAAGGGCATGAAATCCATTTTCTAAAGGAAGAATTCCAAGGGACTTGTCCTTTTGTCAGGTGTGAAGGAGGTACCGTACATAGGACAGGACCCACCATGATGAAAATCATGGGAAGCTGTTTGCTCAGGTGGTCATCTGATGTGCAGAAAATGAAGGAATCTCTTGGATTTAGGGGATAGAGACTTGGGATGTTGCCTACGTGTGGGAGAAAAGAGTGAATCTGTCCAAGTGTTTCCTTAATCCTGGAGAAGATGTTTATTTGTACTTTAGGAAGAAAGTAAAACAATGACCTTTCTCGATTTAGTTACCCAGATTCTAATCTATTTGTTTATTAAAAAGTGAAGAACAGGGCTTCCCTGGTGGCGCAGTGGTTGGGAGTCCGCCTGCCAGCGCAGGGGACGCGGGTTTGTGCCCCAGTCCGGGAGGATCCTGCATGCCGCGGAGCGACTGGGCCCGTGGGCCATGGCCGCTTGGCCTGCGCGTCCAGGGCCTGTGCTCCGCGGCGGGAGAGGCCACAGCAGTGAGAGGCCTGCGTCCCACAAAAACAAAAAACAAAAAATATCTCAAAAACATCCATTCATTTCCAAGTTATTCACTTTCTTTTCTTTTTTTGCATTTTATTTTATTTATTTTTTTATACAGCAGGTTCTTATTAGTTATCCATTTTATACATATTGGTATATATATGTCAATCCCCATCTCCCAATTCATCACACCCTCCCCCCTCTGCCACTTTCCCTGCTAGGTGTCAATACATTGTCTGCATCTGTCTCAATTTCTGCCCCGCACACTGGTTCATCTGTACCATTTTTCTAGGTTCCACATATATGTGTTTATATACGATATTTGTTTTTCTCTTTCTGACTTACTTCACTCTGGATGACAGTCTCTAGATCCATCCACGTCTCTACAAATGACCCAATTTCGTTCCTTTTTATGGCTGAGTGATATTCCATTGTATATATTTACTGCATCTTCTTTATCCATTCATCTGTTGATGGGCACTTAGGTTGCTTCCATGTCCTGGCTATTGTAAATAGTGCTGCAGTGAACATTGGGGTGCATGCATCTTTTTGAATTATGGTTTTCTCTGGGTATATGCCCAGTAGTTGGATTGCTGGATCATATGGTAATTCTAGTTTTAGTTGTTTAAGGAACCTCCATACTGTTCTCCGTAGTGGTTGTATCAATTTACATTCCCACCAACAGTGCATGAGGGTTCCCTTTTCTCCATACCCTCTCCAGCATTTGTTGTTTGTAGATTTTCTGATGATGCCCATTCTAACTGGTGTGAGGTAACACCTCATTGTAGTTTTGATTTGCATTTCTCTAATAATTAGTGATGTTGAGCAGCTTTTCATGTGCTTCTTGGCCATCTGTATGTCTTCTTTGGAGAAATGTCTATTTAGGTCTTCTGCCCATGTTTGGATTGGGTTGTTTGTTTTTTTTAATATCGAGCTGCATGAGCTGTTTATATATTTTGGAGATTATCCTTTGTCCGTTGATTAGTTTGCAAATATTTTCTCCCATTCTGAGGGTTGTCTTTTCGTCTTGTTTGTAGTTTCCTTTACTGTGCAAAAACTTTTAAGTTTCATTAGGTCCCATTGTTTATTTTTGTTTTTATTTCCATTTCTCTAGGGGGTGGGTCAAAAAAGATCTTGCTGTGATTTATGTCTAAGAGTGTTCTTCCTATGTTTTCCTCTAAGAGTTTTACAGTGTCCAGTCTTACATTTAGGTCTCTAATCCATTTTGAGTTTATTTTTGTGTATGGTGTTAGAGAGTGTTCTAATTTCATTGTTTTACATGTAGCTGTCCAGTTCTCCCAGCACCACTTATTGAAGAGACTTTCTTTTCTCCATTGTATATCCTTGCCTCCTTTTTCATAGATTAGTTGGCCACAGGTGCGTGGGTTTATCTCTGGGCTTTCTATCCTGTTCCATTGATCTATATTTCTGTTTTTGTGCCAGTACCATATTGTCTTGATTACTGTAGCTTTGTAGTATAGTCTGAAGTCAGGGAGCCTGATTTCTCCAGCTCCGATTTTCTTTCTCAAGATAGCTTTGGCTATTCGGGGTCTTTTGTGTTTCCATACAAATTGTGAAATTTTTTCTTCTAGTTCTGTGCAAAATGCCAGTGGTAGTTTGATAGGGATTGCATTGAATCAGTAGATTGCTTTGGGTAGTAGAGTCATTTTTACAATGTTTCCAATCCAAGAACATGGGATATCTCTCCATCTATTTGTATCATTTTTAATTTCTTTCATCAGTGTCTTATAATTTTCTGCATACAGATCGTTTGTCTCCTTAGTAGGTTTATTTCTAGATATTTTATTCTTTTTGTTGCAATGGTAA